ACTCTTAGTTATTCCATTCCTATACTCTGTTGGCATTATGCATTTACCTCACTTACTACTTCGTAATGTTATTTGGTAAGGTGTTTGTCCGACCAGACTGTGGATCTCAAAGAATGGGGACCACGTCTTACTCATCTTTTTTATTATGTTATCTTACAGAGCATGTGCCCCCAAAAATGCTCATTGAATTAGTGGGATGATATTTGACAAACATATCCTATAACCTACACTCAAAAAAACTCAGATAGAAATGAATTCAAACCTAAGCAACTCATCCAGATTAACTGGAAGTTAGGCAGGAGTGGAAATATGAATGGACAAAAACAAATACCTCCTAAATTCCTGCTGCTCAATCCCGAATTCTATAGAACAGAGATATTCCTTCAATGGCAATTAATATTTAGTTGGTGAGGTCATCTCATTCTGAGTTGTTTCCTGCATTAGTATAACATATAAGGACACTCTCAAATTCTGGAATATGTGTCACTAAGGATAAAAAGTTGAGTCATTATACATTTTAAAACAAATCCTTACAGATGAGGGAAATTCTTGTCCTTTTCCACCACAATCACATGATTTCATTATTCATTAGTCCTAAATGTAATTTAGGCTCCACACATAGCAAACATTGTCTGCCAACTGAGTAATAAACCAGAACTACTTGTTTGTCACAGAAAGAGGAAATTTTTTAAATGTATGTTAACCCTAAGTGAACAGGGACACTGGGTAGGATTAAAGGGAAGGGATAAATGAGGTACTATTCAATTTTTGAAATGCACTTTTAACACTAAAAATTTTTTAAAAGTTCTAACTGCCAGTTTAAAACATTCATTGGCCTTTGTCGAGCTTTTCAATTATTACCCATGGTAGAAGAAAAAGAACTGTCCTAAAAGGTCTTGATTTCTTTTTTTTTTTTAGATTTTATTTATTTACTTGAGAGAGAGTGAGAGAGCAGGAGCAGTGGGGAGGGGCAGAGGGAGAGGGAGAAGCAGACTCCCCGCTGAGCAGGGAGCCTGCCAAGGGACTCTGAGACCATGACCTGAGCCGGAACCATGACCTGAGCCAAAGGCAGACACTTAACCCACTGAGCCACCCACAGGCACCCCAAGGTCTTGGTTTCAAGTTCAAAGGCAGTATCATTTAGAATGATCACTCCTGATTTCAAATCAGAAGGCTAAATGAATTCTTAAAATTCGTTAATTATTACCAATGAGACTTAAGAATTATGTTGTACATACAGTTGACCACTGCACAATACAGGGGTGAGGGGCGCTGACCCCTGGCACAGTCAAAAATCCACAGTAACTTTTGACTTCCCAAAAACTTTACTTACAGCCCACTGTTGCCCGGATGCCTTACTAATAATATAAACTGCTGATTAACATATATTTTGTATGTTATATGCATTATATACTGTATTCTTAAATAAAGCTAGAAAAAAGAAAATGTTAGGAAAATCCTAAGAAAGAGAAAATACATTTACAGCACTGTAATGTATTCATCGAAAAATATCCACGTATAGGTGGATCCACAGAGTTAAAATTCCTGTTGTTCAAGAGTCAACTGCGGTTGCAAAGGTACCTATCTATGCCTGTGTGCTACATTTTTTTTTAATCAATGGACCAAGACTGTCTCTAAATTTAGAATAAAAGCTCCAAGAGGAAGAAATCTTGAACCATTTCATTCACTAATGTCTCCCAAGGACCTAGCGCAGTGCCTGGCTGGCAGAGCCGAGGCATTCATTACATACGTGTGAATATTGCTCAAAATGGTCCAAATGCTATGTCAGTATATGCAGTGAGTTACAGCTCCTTGAGGAATATAAAGTTGTAATAACTTTCACACAATGTTGCACAAATCAACTGATACTATATCCAAAAGCAAACTGACAATGCATATAATAAAACAAAACATTTTACATAGGAGTCCTTAAGGTTCTGAACTTTAAAGCTTGACAAGAAGCTGGCAAAAAAACAAAAATGTCAGCAACACAACCAAAATTTTCAACAAGCACAAACTCTTGCACTTATTTCATAGACAATTCAATTCCAAAAGAGCCATGGGGCTTCAACAACAAAATTGTAAGAATTTCACTTAAACACCAGTGCATTTACAACAAAATTTAATTTCCAGTATTATAAAGCAGGCCTGACCTTTCTTTTATCAATTGGCCTATGCCAAAAGAATATTGCTAAGCAATATACTTCTGAATATACCTAAAACTGCTATTTCTATTGCTGTTTCCCACTCAAAAACACAATGTAAATATTTATAAAACTGGTCTTTAGTTTTCCCTATTAAAAGCCATCATGAGCATTTAACTGGGAATCAGGCTATGTTTTAGCCCTTATTTATGGGTTACTCTTATCTGCACTTTTTTAAAGATTTTATTTATTTATTTGATAGAGAGCGAGAAGCACAAGCAGGGGGAGCGGCAGAGGGAAGGGAGAAGCAGGCTTGATCCCAGGACCCTGGGATCAGGATCTGAGCTGAAGGCAGGCGCTTAACCGACTGAGCCACCCAGGTGCCTGTGGTCACCTTCTACTCTCTTCTGGGCCTCAGTTCTCCCTTCTGTAGAATGAGGGACCTGTGTTAAAACAATGGTTCCTCGCTTTCTTTTTGCAACCCTTTGAGAATGTGGTGAAAGCTACAGGTGACCTCTCCATAACAATGCACATACATGTGTATATAACAATTCTATGAATAGCTATTTATAATAGCAAAAGATTGGAAACAACCTAAACGTCCACCAATAGATGGTTAAGTAAATCGTTATAGCCATTCAATGAAATTCCTTGCAACTGTAAGTAGAATAAAGAAACCTTCTATATAGTGATATGAAAAGATTTCCATCATGTATTGTTACATGAAAAAAGCAAGTTACAGAACAGTGTATACAATATACAACCTTTTGTGATAAAAAACTAAAATAAATATATTTGAATTTTTATGTATAAGCATAAAGAAACTGGAATAAACGAGAATTTTTATGTTAGTGGGAATTGAGTAAAGGGGTAGGAGGAACCTTTCCATTGTATACTTTCTTATATTTTTGTTTGCATTATGTGAATACACTGCATTCTAAAATTTTAAATTAAAAAACTATATACCTTCAAGAAGTCCAACCCACTGAAGCTAGAAGATAATTCCCAAACCCTGCTCAGCGATATTCTTTTATAATGATTTGACTTAATAAGCCTGTAATTATATACACTCAATGATCCAACAAGAACATTTAAGGAGAAATATTTTTTCATCACAGTCCTCATAAACATATAAAGTAATTGGTGGATACTCAGTGATTCAACAGATCCTAATTTGGAATCTCATTTTATATAATTTTCCTTAATTACTGATACACTTTATGACAAATTTCTTCAAGGGAAAAAGTATGCAGAAATTATTGAGCCACACTCCCTCTCATGGGTCAAATTTCAGACTATTTCACAGAGGAGTCCAGACTTTAGAAATAAGAATAGATATTTCTATCCTATTTGACCATATAATCAATAGTACTAGTAGGGAGACCAGAGAAATACTTTTTTTTTTTTTTTTACCATAATCTCAGAATTTGAAGCAAATTAAAGAGCATATGAGAACATCACACAGCACCCACAAATTAGATGACATCTGGGGAGGCCTTCTTGCCTGATGTGAGCAAGAATCAGATGGAACTGGGTTTTCATTCATGCAAGTTACTTAACCTCTCTGGGCCTCAGTTTCATCTGTAAAATGGAAATAAAACTACCTATCTCATAAGGATGTTGTGAAGCTTAAAAGGAATAATAAGGAATATAGAAAGTAAGACGTAGAAATAAAAAGTAAGATATCCTAGGACAGTGGCAGGTGTCCGCTCGAATCAAAACAGACTGCATTCTGGAACCTGTAGTTTCTAGAGACTGCACTTTCATACACAAGCAACGCCTTCTTTTCCCTACTGAAAATAACACATGGCAGAATTCCCAGCACAAAAGGTGCAAATATGTGGCCTTTCCTAATTATGCTTCTTGAAAATCTCCTCCTAGGTATGCATTTCTTATCAAAGAGCTGTAGATGTTGTCTTGATTGGATGTGTCTCAAAAAGAGTCCTAAGTTATAACAGTTCTGTTTTGTGGTTTTTACAGGACACTTTCTATGTCAAGCTCGGCACCAAAGACTGGCAGGCTATGGAAGGTAAAGAAAGGCAAGAAGTTGAAAGCAACAGTCCTACAACAGACTTTTAACTGCCAGGATGATAGTAGGAAACCTACACTGCCATGGAGATAGAAGCAGCCCCTGCCAAGCGATCTCCATATACGAAACTTTTAAACCCAATCCAGTTTTTTGTTTTGTTTTGTTTTGTTTTGTCTCCAGCACTACTGGAGCTTATTAATTTTTGGAATTATTATAAATATAAATAACCCTGATTTATTGCTTCCTCACTATGTGCCAGGCTCTGTGCTAAGCATGCATTTTTCAAGACTTTGTGAAAACTGCACGTGAGTTCATTCTCTCAACCCACTTCACACTCAAGTCTGAAAAGCTCCCTTCACATCCTCAAGTGCAACTTACTCCTTAACTCCGGATACTCCACACCTCTCACTGATCCATTCCGGCGCAGGAGCCACATCTTTACACGCAGTTCGACCCCAACCTCTTCACCCAGCACTAAACCAAGCACTTCTCTGATCCTCCAGGGCCCCTGCAAAGTTCGGAACCCTTCTTCCACACACCATTCCAACCTGGCCCTAACTTGTTCCAAGAATGCTGTTTCCCTCCAAACTTCTGACTTCCGCAAGGCGCGGGATCCCCTCACTGCCCCTCCAAATCCATCCTGTCCGTACTTCATTCCGAAGTTCAAAATTCACAAACAGATGCACCTGGACAGAGCCCAGTTCCAACCCCATGAAAAGTCTACCCGGCAGCTCCAGTACGGCCTGGGACCCTCCACCCCCTAACCAGGCCAGGCCCGGCGCACTCGGCCTCGCTCCGGACCCCAAAGGGAGGAGGGGAAGCTCCACCTGGCTCTGCGGCCGCGGCGCGCGGCTCCTGCTCCGGCCTGGGCCCCGCGGCGGCCGCGCCCCCGTCCCGGCGCGGGCGGCAGCGCTCGGGCTGGCCGCGGCGGGCGCGCTCGCCCTGCACCTCCGCGTCGGCCTGGCCGTCGTCGCGGGCCCGACGGCGGGCCCAACCGGGGCCGCGGGCTCGGCAGCGCGGGCAACCCGGGCCCGCTGCGTCGGCGGCGCGCTGGGCGCAGCCTCGGCACAGCGAGTGGCCGCACGGCAGGGCCGCCGCTTCCCCCGGGGTCTCCAAGCACCCGGCGCAGCCCGACTCCTCCGGCCGCGGCGGTGGCGGCGGCTGCAGCAGCGGTGGCGGCAATACCAGCAGCGCGGGGCCAGAGGCTGCGCCCGGGGCCCCAGTCTTGGCTGCCGCCATCTCGTCACAGCGGCCCCGTCGGCCCCGCCGACTGAGAGCTGCCGCTGCCGCCGCGGAAGAGGCCCGAGTACTCGGACCTGCCGCCGCCATCTTGTTTCCCGTTTGAAGGGAGAGTCCGTTGCGAGGGAGAAGAGTAGAGGGCGGGGCAGTGCGCGGCGGGCGGTGCTGTCTACATATTTATGAGGGGGCGGGGCTCCAATGAGCCCGGGGAAGCTTCTCCCCGGGCCTGATTGGCGGAAGGCGAAACCTCATTAATATTTATGTTTACCTTATATGCAGTCTTCAGCCTCGCCCTCCAGTCTTTGCAATTTCCTCTTATTGAGCCCGATGAAGTTGAGGACTGAGGGGATTTGGAAATTCTGAGCGATGTTAAACTTTATGAAGTAATTACACGTATTTCTTCTGCAATACCCTGATAACTAAGGCTAACGTGAGTGGGGAATATGTGAATTATCCAGAACCCTCCCTCAGTGCATTTGATGTGAGAGTAGCTGTTGTGACCAGGCCTACTGGGACCAGCAACTACTAAAAATAACAGCTTCTTGTCAGTCCTCATCTCCATATCCTCCCTCTCCACGTCCTTCCCGGACCTCCCTTTGGCTGGCAAAACCATACTTTCCTGGTTTTCTCTCAAACCCTCATGCTCTTTCTCAGACTCTTTTGAGCCCTCCCCCTTGTTTGGGGCTGAAGTGTAGGTATTCCTCTAGGCTCGAGCCTCTTCTCTCTTTGGGTGCCACCTCACCCTCACCTCACACTTTCTTCCCGCTGAAACTCCCAAATTGATATCCGCAGTCCAGACCTCTTGAGTCCAGCTTTGCATATTCAACTGCTTGATGGAAACATCACCTTGGATGTCTGCATTCCCCATGTGCAAAACTAAAGTCACTGTCTTCCACCCTACTTCCAAAACAGCTTGTTTCTTATTTCCCTCATCCTATTAAAGGTACTATCCTCCGAGTTCCTCAAGCTCTAAACCTAGTGTTGTTTACTTTTCCCTCATCTCCCACATCTGTCAGTTTCTTGTTCTCCCACTAAACTATTTTCCCACCTATCTTCTCCTCTTCAGCCCACTCCTGCTGCCCAATTCATGTCTCATCATCTCTCACCTAGATTATTGCAGTAGCTGCTATAGGTTGTCTTCATGCCCACAGCCTCTCCTCTTCTAATCCATCCAGGACTACAGCTCTCAGAACTGCTTTCCAAAGGACAGCTCTGACCTCGTCATTCCTGCTGGGGCTATTCACCAAGTGAGGTGCTCAGACTTTGATGCCAGCTCCCTTTCTGGATGCGGAGGGGATGGAAGGGAAAAAATGACTCCCCTCTGATAGATGGTTCTACTGTAGCAATTCTCCCACCCTTTGCTTTCTTTGCACTAAGGCAGATCTGGAACAGGAGGACATTAAGCAAATGGCATTTCCTGTTGGGAATCTTTATAGGAAAGCATACATTTTATAAGGAGAGCAAAATCAAAAAAGGAACATAATGGAATGGAAGGCATCAGAGGCCCGGGGTTTCCATGAGACTGCCCAGAAACAGTGTCAGAACTGGTGGTAAGCCAGAGTTATTGGTAGAAGTCAGAGAGCAGGAAAAAGAAAGTCGATTCCCAGGATGAGATCCAGATGGCTAAAGAACAGTCAAGAATTGAAGAAGAGTCTTTGGGGAATTGAAACAAGGTCTTGTGTGCACAGAGGCCCAGTCAGAATCCTGGCAAACAGAAGTATGGCTTCAGCTGGACTGTCCTTTATCTATGGATCCTCCTCATTTCACACCCCAGCTGAGATTCTTGAGTATGCTTTTCCCAGATTCTGACAAGGAGGCCTGTGGTCCAGAGATCAAGCCAACTATAATTAGAAATGGGGCCCTTGGGGGGCGCCCGGGTGCCTCAGCTGGTTAAGCGGCCAACTCTTAATTTCAGCTCAGGTCATGATCTCAGGGTCCTGGGATCAAGCCCTACATCAGGCTCCGTGCTCATTGGGGAGTCTGCTTCAAGATTCTCTCTTTCCCTCTGCCCCTCCCCCGGTTTGCTGGAGCATGGGTGTGCGAGCTCACGCGTGTGCACGCACACACTCTCTCTCTCTTTTTCAAATAAATAAATCTTAAAAAAAAAAAAGGAATGAGGCCCTTAGGTCTGGGCTCACTCTTGACAGCTTGGGGCTCTTAATCTGAAGCCCATCTACTGTTGGAAGAGCTGAACCATAGACATGCAACATGCTTTCTTGCATAGAAATAAAGACAGGAAATTTCCTTTTACAGAGGGAAAACATAAGACGTCTGCATAGTACTAGACCAATAGCCAAGAGATCTGGGATTGGTCCCGGCCCCTTTACCCCTCTCATTAACTTGTATGATTTCAAACAGGTAACTTCTCTGTGGGCCTCAGTCTCCTCATTTTTAAAACAAGGGTATTGGAATTCAGCAGTTCTCAACCCAGGGTGCACACAGACATACAACACAGAAATGTACACACACACACACACACACCAACAACAATGAAGTTCCACCTCAAATCTACTGAACCCCAAAACTGAAGATGGAATACCAGCATGTGTATTTCCTCAATGCCATAGGAATTCTTATGACTACTCCCAGATGAGACCACTGCAATAGATCAATTGAAAGGTCTCTTTTAGCTCTACCATTCTAGAAGTCGGACTCCCAATTTCTCCCAGTCTCTCCTTTCCTCTATGCCGTTGCCAGAGTAATCTTACTAAAACAGTAGCAGGGACAGAAGGCAAGGCAAACCTAAGAAATCTGGAGAGTTATTCACTGTGTGGGAAAATGAGGGCGATGAGGAGAATTCTAATGTGTCAAGTCTAGGAGCCTGAGATTACAATCACAACTGACAACTGACGAAAACAGAATAAGTGGAAAGGAAAAGGAAAGATGAGGGCATGGTAGACATTTTGTTTTATTTTAGTTCACCATCAGCATCTCAAGTCCTTCTTACTTGGGGAAAATGCCCCATTCTATGCAGTATTTGCAGTACTGCTAAGACTAAGGAAGCTGAAGCAGGGAGAATATCAGTGGCTAGAACACGACATATGATCCAGGCTTGGCCACCTGGCCACTCTCTCTGAACTTTGAAACTTCAGGGAATGACACAAGACCTACTGACAAGTTTAGAATTATTCAGAGCAACAGAGACAGTAGGTGTCCAACCACAGTGGGTCTCTCATAGGGATTGGGAGTAGGGGGGTCCCTACCATAGTAATGGTGGCCATTCCAGATTGTTCCTGAGGCACGAACTTGGTTCTGGTGCCTGCTGCCTGGCCTTCCTAGGTTACAACCCATCTTCCATATCCAACTCTCCAGCCTTCCTGTCAACTCTGTATCCTTCCAGTAAATTCTCCTTTTTTCTTGAACTTCTCACAATTTTTGGTGTTTGCATCACAGTACCTGACGGAGATACTGGTTTGTTGTTTTTGAAGTGTCACCTGAAAATGGCTGACAAGCGTGCTTTCTAAGTTACAAAACAATCTAAGAAGCTTAGTCCAACCGCCTAGAGTAGAATGAGCCAGAGTTGCATGAGTTCTTGTTTCTAAGCCCCCACCTGTACCACGAGAACACCAAGGCAAGAGGGACTCACAGACTCACTTCAATGCAGTCATCAAAGTTGCCAATTGGAACAAATAGCAGAGCCTCCAGACCAACGCTTCTTCTCCAGCTGCTTTTGCTCTGCCACTCCTACCATATTTTCTGGGGATTGTATTGCTGCCCAAATTCCCTGCTCTCCTCCTCACAGTGCGTCCACAATTCCACGCCACGGCTAGCCCTCCAGCACTCCTCATACAAATCACTGCAAACCTCCCCTTTCCCCAGCAACCGGAGGCTCCAGCTCCCTCCAGCTGGACTGAAAGACTCAGCTGTGAAGCAAGGCCGTTCGGCCTCATTCTGTGGGGACAGGCCGTTTCTCCCTGCAGGCCCAACAACCCCTTCTTGCCAGCCCAGGTGCTGAGTCCATCCTGAGACCTCACACATCTAGGAAGGAGAAGGATCAGACCATACCAACGCCACCTCTCCCCTACCCTCCTCATCTCTTGGGGTGACATCTTCCTGTATTCTTCCCCTCTCAAGCCAGATTTCCCCTTGAGATTTGGAATCCTCCCTTTCGCTTTAAAGATTCTTGCCACATTCTTACTGTTAGTCATCTTCTGTTACTTCCCTTTTGTTTCAGAGGAAGAAGCGGTTCTTTTTTGTAAAGCTAACTCTTTTGTCATCTTTCCCGCCACCTCCAGACTCTTTGTAAACACTCTACAAATACAAATAAGCTGTGGTCCCTGTACTCCTGAGGTCACAGCCTAATAGAGAAGCAAAAGTATAAGTAAATAATTGTAACAGAAAAAATTATAACAGAATTGCGTGCCCTGTAACTGAGACACATACAGGGTAATGAAGAAGCAGAAAGAAAGCGGGAGTGGAATGCAGGTTTCACAGAAGAGAGGTACATTCGAGGTCTGTTCTGGAGGACGAGGAGTTCACCAGGTAGACAGACAGGATGGCCTTCCTGGCATTCCTGTGTGGGACTGATAAAGAACTCAGTGTGGCTAGAACATTGGATTGGACATTAGGCTAGAAAATTAGAGAATAAAAGGACCTAGAATTTATTGAGCAACTACCATATGCTACGAACATGCAAGGCTATGACATATCTCTCTCATTTAGACCTAAAGTAACCCTGTGAGGTGTGTAGGGTATTATCTCCATTTTACAGAGAAACTCAGTATATTGGGGGACTATTGAAAGGTTTAACATTTGGACCAAAGGAGTACTATGGATTTGTATTTTATAAGAGTGACTCTTGGGATGCCTGGGTGGCTCAGTCAGTTTAGCGTCTGCCTTCAGCTCAGGTCATGATTCCAGGGTCCTGGGGATCGAGCCCCGCATCGGGCTCCCTGCTCAGCGGGGAGTCTGTTTCTCCCTCTCCCTCTGCCTCTCTCCCTACTTGTGTTCTCTCTCTCTGAAAAATAAATCAATAACTTTTTTTTTTTAAAAAAAGGGGTAACTCTCAATCCTATCATTATCAGTGAGGAATAAAAAATAATCTAAGCAGCCTTCCTCCTACCCCCGTGGAGCTGAGATATCATTGAGAT